CTACAAAACATTTCAGAGTTGTACGAGGCGTGGTTTGCAATTCGCCCAGCCAATCAGAACTGGGGCACTTTTTTCCCCCAGGAAAGTACGATCTCTCAGCAGGCACTAAAAATGGGGGTAAAAGTTCCCGAGGTTAAGTGCTCTTTTTGGTGTGAACGCGACATAAGGGGTACTAACGGAACTAAACGCGAAAAGTACGGTGAAAAGTACTCCGGTGTGAACGCGGCTATTGTGAACCACAGGATATACATTGATGGGGAAAGCAGGTTTCAGCTGCCAGACTGAGAAAACATAATGCCAGCCGTAGCAGTCCTGTAAGCACACTGGAATGCCCTAATGAGCCCTGTCAATAAATAACTGTACAACACCCTCATGCAGATAATGGAGGATTCTGGAAAGTTTTCCATTGTCAGTGTGGGTGTAACTTTCAGATCTAACCTTTTGTTGCGGATCCCTCTGGCATTGTAGTTTTTGAATTTGAGTGACGCTGAAAGGATGTGTGTCTTTGTTCTGCATGTGAATGTTGTTGTATGTTGTGTGTGTGCCTGTGGTGTACCAAACAGGGAAAAAGTAGCAAAGCCACTAGCAAGTTAATAAACTCCAGCTGGGCTTTCTTGTGCTGAGGACAGGCAACAGAGCCCAGCACATTCTCTGTAGCTGAGCTCACACATCTTCTCTGCAAACCAGAACTAAGCCCAGCACCCAGGGTTTTCGAGGTTTTTACTGAAACGTTTTTAAGAATATTCATACTACCCCTACTTGTAAGCATTGGTAGTCACAGCGTGAGTTGAGAGTTTCCTTAAGTACTATGAAACAACTTGTACAGCTCAGTGTAAAAGTGTAGTAGCATTTCATTTTGTTTTTACTATTGCTTTGCAACCAGATATGAGCTAACTAGTTATACATGTATTTAAAATAATTATCATTGTGTCGTTTTGTTTTATCTTATCATGTTCTCTTTATCATGCTTCCAAAAACAATAAGTAGTGGAAGAAGTAGTTGAATCCTTTACTTGAGTAAAAGTAAAAAACTGTCAAAAATGGTCCATTACATTTCAAAGTCCTGCATTCAAAACCTCACCAAAGTGAAAGAAGAAACGTATTATCACCAAGATGTGAAGTATGAAGACTCGAGGTAGTCACAATGGAGTAAAGTACAGGCACCTCGAATGTATATTACTCAAATGTACTTACTTATAGTACATTCCTCTGCTGGTCTTACAAAATGTTTAAAGTTGTGTAATGGACCTTAATTTCCCTTTATGAAATGTACACTTAGTTGCCAGTTAAATTAAAAGCAGCAGACCTTCAATAACTCCTTTCTTCATGAAGGTTGTAATGTTCAGTCTTTGTCAAAGCAGCCTTACAGAGGTGTCAATTCAATTGAAAACACTTTTAAAAGCTGTAGTTTGAAGTGCTGAAAGTGTGTTATATATTATGTTGTATGAACTATTTATCTATAGAGACAGTGGAAACACAAACTATGGCTGTAACCAGGTTTTTATTTTATTTACCTTGACGATTACTTCTCAAGCTTAGGTTGACAAATTATGAAAAACGTCTCAGAATAGTAGTTTAAACACCATACTTAATAAAACAGCAACTGACTGCATGTTTAGTGTCCTCCTTGGTTTATTTCCTCTTCACAGTAAACATTACCCCTTTTGGAGGTCATTTTCCCATCTGTCAGTCTCTCCCCCACCATCTGTCTCTCCAACACATAGTCAGTTTACATTGTTAGTCTATGTAAGATGCAGCACAGGGGCTGGTGCAGCGGGGGTCTCAAACAGTAAACCATGAAGGACAGAGAGTCTGCAGTCTCTATACCTTGTGCTCTCTTAGGTGCAAGATAGCACATTTAGCATCATTCCTGACAGTTAAAGCATGATTTAAAAAACGGTTTGATTTATCTTCGTCAGGCACACAGACCACATGTCCTTTTTTTCTTTTCAAGTCTATTCTCTTCTAGAGAACTCTGTAATACCCACTCTCCACCGTTACAGGCTGTCTCTAAAGCAGAGAGCGAGCGATGTTTAGTCAAAACAAACTCTTGGTAGTGAATGACGCACTGATACAAGCTCTTGTTTGTTCATTTTAATTGCACCTGTGAAAATGTGTGTCCCACTTATTTATTAATGTTCTTGATCTAATAAGCACCACTAAGCAGAAACAAGATTAGATAGAGCTGTGGCAGAAATGTGCTCCATAACTGAAATTACATTTCTGCTTATAGCATCAGTCATTTTGTGGCGTCTTTCAGAGAAGTGAAATAGACACTTCATTCATTGAAATGACATTCTGTATGAGATATAATCAACTTAATCATTTCAATTGACTTCAACTAGTGAGTTTCTGCTTCAACTACATGTCATAAAATCAAACTAAGCATCCTCTAATTATATGTATTAAATGATCCAAAGTCATTCATGCAGTTCATGTATTTTCAAAGATCTACCAAAGCTTCTTTTAGAATTTATAGCAAGAAATATTTGTATTAATAATGATGAATGTTGTATCATCGCTGACATTTAAAAAGCAGTAATACATAGTTAGAAATAACGCCGGAGCCACCAGCCACTTAGTTTAGCATAAACACTGTAAACAGGGAAACAACTCCCTAGGAAATAATCTGACAAATCAACAACTCCCCGCCCTCGCACTTTTGGATTATAACTCATTACTGAGCTTAATAGAAGCTGATCTGGAGAGAGACAATCTTTCCCCCCTTGTTCATAGTCTTTATGCGCTGCTTAGCTAACCAGCTACTGACAAACTAAATGTTTTCTAGCATAAGCAGCTACACAAACTGAAAAACTGCATCATTTGGCAAAATCATGACTTAACTTAGACCATGCCTGATCATGTATAAATATAAATCTTTGCATTTCCTGCTGGGTTTCAGTACCTAACTGCTATCGATCATTCAATACCAGGAAATGATTCTGGTCTGATATCCTTAAAAAACAAACAGTGTATGCATTTCACATATTGAAGAAGTGTGTGTGTTGGGGTAAAAGTCAGTTTGTGTGTGTGTGAGAAAGAGGAAGGCATCAATCCAAGTTCATTTCAACCCTTCTCATATCTCTCCTCAGCACACATTCAAACACAAGAAAAAAAGAGTCTACTGCCAAGAGAGGGAGGGAGGGAAGGAGAGTGAGATATAGAGCGATGGAGAAATGATGGGGGAGAGTGAAAGAAAGAGAGAGAGCAAGAGAGGACAGAGTGAGCGAGAGTGAGAGAGCACTTTCTATTTATAGCCTGTGTGCCCGGAGAGGAGGAAGACTGTTGTTCGAAAGCACACTTGGTGCTTATGATTTTGTTCTGCAGAACACAGGCTGCCACTCCGAAGGAAAAGGAATATACAATAAGTACATGCCATACAAATGATACACCATGTGGGTGGGAGGATGGGGTCCTTACTGGGTAGATAAATGGCTGCTTGAAAGGCTGATGAGAGGAGGAACATGATTGGTCCAGTAATCTTCCCCCTCAACGGCATACATGAACTATAGTAACCTCTACCTTCTTCATCCTGCTGGGTGTGTTGATCATTCATGCACACACGTTAATTAAATAAGAATATGGCTAACTACTCTGAACAATTAAATATAGATTTGTTTTTATGTAATTAGGATAAATGAATCCCAAATTGGGAAATGTTTTCTTGCAGCAGGATGTAAAACAAATTATTGCACATAATTATAAGTAAAAAAGAGCAGAAATAAACAATTACACAAGACAAAACAGAACTAAAAGAGTGAAATGTTTGACCGTGAATAAAGCAACAATGATCATGTTAAAAATATATATTTAGTGCTGCGTGGGTGAACAAACCCACCACTGACTTATTATCTCAATATAATGACAAAATAAAATCATTAAAGATTTTCAGTGAAGGTCTAAAGTGTATTCACTTCAGCATTATATATGACACAAGTTGTCCCATAACATGTCAACATGCTGTTTGGCTCATTGGTAGCCTGCCTGCATCTTCCATTTTGGATTGTTAAAATATTTATTTTAAAAACTAAATAAAAAAAGATGATTAGAGTATTCAAGTTAACTTTTTTTATATATACAGTATACTTAGAACATAACACATGTCCTGTCGGTAGAATTTTTTGTGTGACGTGAATAAATAATGTATAGGTTTATACAAAAAAAACACTAAGTCTTTACTAAGTCAGTATCTGCAGAGACCCTGCCCTCTGTCTGTATTTTCAAGCTACGGAAGTGACTGACATCGTGCCAAATCAAACACAAAGTATATTTGTTTACATTTGGACAGAGCCAAGCTAGCTGTTGCTACCTGATTCCAGTCATATTGCTAAGCTAAGCTAATTGCTTTAAACCTTTAGCTTCATCCTGAGCAGAAACAATAGTGGTTGCAATGTTTTCATCCAATACGCAGTGAGAAAGTGAATACGCTTATTTACTAGAAGGTTCTCCTTTACCTTTAAGTACAAATAGCAAAACACCACCAGGTTTCAAACCGTATAGCTCTTCGTTACATGCTAACCTCGGTCTAACATGTACACTCAAACTTTTCTGGTCTTTGCAAACTTGCTGTCTCTTCAGTGGAGGTTGTTTTAGCACACCAGTTATTTCCAGGACCTCTCAGTGGGCCTATAAATAGAGCACACACACACACAATCACACCCAATCATAGACACTCACACACACACCCTTCTATTTCACCTCTGTGCGAGGTGGTTTTGACGTCCAGGTGTTCTTAAGCTCTTACTAATTTGATGCCTGTCTACCTCAGTAATGCATAGCTGTGCACACATTTAACCTTTTTCTTCTTTTAATGTTTATTTCTGTAGATTTACTGTATTTTACTTGTACTTTAATGCTTGGTCTCATTTGCTGAGGCTTTCTCTTCTTCAACTCCCTCTTTCTGGGTCACTGACATTTTCATTAAGTACAAAACTTGGTGCATGTATGTGATTTTCCCGGGTATTAAACATATCTCTCCTTTCTGTCTTCCTGTCTCTGCAGCGTCAGACAACAGCCAGCGATTTCAGGAGACGTGTTTCGCCTTTGCATTAACGCCACAACAAGTCCAGCAGATCAGCAGCTCGATGTAAGATGAACACCGCTCCGTCAGTGCAGCATGCTGTTCATGAATAATTCATACTTGAGCATGATTTCTGTAGATATGTGGTGATATTTGTATTCCTGTGCTCCAAGGGACATCTCGGGGACCACATGTGATTTCTCAGTTCAAGTTCAGTTGCGGTTTTGCCTGTCGGAGACGAGCTGTCCTCAGGAAGACCATTTTCCACCCAATCTGTGTGTGAAAGTCAACGGGAAGCCATGTAACCTTCCGGTGAGGACTACTCTCAGTAACTCTCGCATGCTAGTGTTGAACCCATTCTCATTACTGTTTGACTTTTCAATAAACACAACAGAAATGCTAATGTTCATCCTTTCCCCTCTGATATGTAGGGTTATCTTCCTCCAACCAAAAACGGCGTAGAGCCCAAGCGGCCGAGCCGGCCCAACAACATTACCTCTCTGGTCAGACTGTCCACCACTGTGCCCAACACCATCGTGGTGTCGTGGACCGCTGAGATCGGAAGGGTAAGAACCAGAGAGTCAAGGAACAATTTCATATCAATGACAGTTAGTAGGTAACAATCAGAATCAGAATCAGAATCAAGTTTATTGCCAGGTATGTTTCCACATACAAGGAATTTGCTTTGGTATCTGGTGGTGCGAACATAGACAATCTAAAAAAACAAGTTGCAAAGTAGGTAAAAAAAAGAAATATATACGGATAATAAAAAATAAGTATTTTTATGAAACAATTTAGGATTAAAAAGGATGCTAAAGACAAGTATTTACACCAAGTTTAAATGTAACTATATCAATTGAGGTAGGATGACTAAACATTCGCTGCCAATGGCTACTTAAATATATTGATTTGCTGGCTGATTATGTTATTGGGGTTGGAGATATCACTTCAGACTTCGGTTACTGATGATGGTTTTTTTTTCCGTCATTTTATATACTTAATGTTGAGACTGAGCAATTGTTTGCATCGCTGATTATCATCTTCAATCAGATCTTTCCAGTTATGGTAATGAGACAATCACTGATTTATAATTTCATCTATACCGTCCAGGCTTTACACGCCTTTTATATAACGCAATATATTAATATGACCTCTTTATCTTAAGGAAGTTGCTGATGCAAATTCTTGTTAACCCTGATCGAAATGCTAATTGATGATTACATGTTGTTTTTGAAGTTTGTAGGAAATGAATGTACACTTAAAGCAGACTTCTATTCTATAATTACACTTCTTGCCTGCAGTGTTCATGGGATTAAATGGTTACATTAGGTTGAATTTGTGGGATGCAGTTTGAAGCCCAACTCATGATTCAGATCATCCCAAAATAGCATTAAATAGTGTCGAGTAATGAAACATAAAACTTCAGAAAGTCTGTGCGTATAACCCTATAGAGTCAAAAGGCAAGCTCAGTCAAGGCACAGTTATTGACAAAATCCCCCTTTTAGACTCAATAAATGTACATGTATCTTACAATAGCTTTATTATCTCATATGCTCACTTATATTTAGCTTGACAGATGGCAGTAGACGAACCATCTCAAAATGAAAGTACATGCTGACCTCAAATATCTTCCTCTCCTCGGTGCTCCCGTACACATGGCTGAACATACATTTGTCTCAGAGCAGGAGGATCGACTTAACGTTACAAAAACATCCCGCCTGCTGAATCACCTCCAGTAACACCATTAGAAGTCATTCTCTGTGCTGGCCTAGAGCTTTGACCAAAAAAGGAAAAACAAAAAAGCGTCTCTGGGTGGGATTTAAAGTTTTATTCAGCCCATGCTGACATTATTTCCTGCATTAATGTGTGTCCTCAGAGTTACTCCATGGCAGTTTACTTGGTGAAGCAGCAGTCGTCCACAGTGTTGCTACAGAGACTACGGGCCAAAGGCATCAGGAACCCCGACCACTCCAGAGCTCTCAGTAAGGATGGTCTTTTTCTTTTTTTAGAGAGATGCACTGATCAATATTTACCTTATATATAAGCTGATCAGGCACTGGCCAGACATGACCAATACACATTTGAGATTGCATTCATCATTCAAACTCCTTGGTGTGTTTGTTTGTTTGTTCTCTTTGTAATCAAATAATAATTGGTAAAAAAAAAAAAAAGTGTTATAACTTACCAGTGCCTATTCCATTAACGCCACAGATTGGAATAGTAGAAAGATTGGAATAGTAGAAAGATTTGGTTTAAATGTAACTTGCCTTTCGTTGTAGAAAGTCTTCCCTTACATTGAAATAAATGAATTGAATTGCTTGTGTGCAGCAAAGTTTGAAACTCAAAAACCCAACATTATAAAAACCACATCTATACTGTATGAATCTCATTCTGTGAGCGATATAAGAAGCTTCAGGTGCAGAGGAGCCTACGTCAGCACCACACAGCATGAGGAGCTCTTTCTCTCCAACATTATTCATTACCTCGGTTTAAATCACCTATTCAAGAAGTACAAATCTGTTGTCTGGTCCTTGCTCACTTATGAATGAGTGTATGTGTGTGTGTTTCCCTTCTTCCTGCAGTCAAAGAGAAGCTCACAGCAGACCCAGACAGTGAAATAGCCACGACCAGCCTTCGCGTGTCGCTGCTCTGCCCGGTAAACATGCTCCCTGCTCCTCATGAATTCACAGCAGTGTTTAGAGATTTTAGTCATGCCAAGACACGTCCGTCCATTATTTTCTTTGCATGTGTCTCAACCTGCCTATAGGCCCTCAAATATGTGTTGTGTACCTCATCCACCTTTCAAATGTCTTCTCTTCCCCCATCATGCACCTTCTCCATGTGGGTTTGGCATATTTGTGACATTTATGCATGCTCTCCATCCCTGCTGTGTGTGTCCTCTTCATGCTCTGACTAAACGTGTGTGTGCGCACACTTTGCAGCTGGGGAAGATGCGGCTGATGATCCCATGCCGGGCGCTGACATGCTCCCACCTGCAGTGCTTTGACGCCACACTGTACATCCAGATGAACGAGAAGAAGCCCACCTGGGTGTGTCCTGTCTGCGACAAGAAGGCTCCTTACGAACACCTCATCATCGACGGGTACATTTCTCAACCCGGCATCCCCCCATCCTGCAACCACCCGTCAGAAAATAGTTCAGAACCATTAACCTTAAAACACAACAGGGCCCCATGTCCGACTACAAGCTGGAGAATTTCAGTAGCATGTTTTGGTTTTATACAGTCATTCATTTGTGTTGTTTATTAGCTGTTCATCTGATCTTACTAAATGTTGTGTTACTACATTACTCATTAGCCAATTTTCTACACTGATACATTGTGATTTATTTAGATTTATCTCAAAACCTAGAGCTTCACAGAAACACAACTTATCTACATCTCATCTTTTGAAGCCATTTGAAGGATTAAACATTATGGAATGGACTTCGTATTTGCTTTAGGATGACTCTAAGTTTGTATGATGCCTTTTTGTGGATTTGCTATGGTCGGCTTGAATTCACTGAAGAAACTGGGTCACTGAAAACATGTCTTCGCAATTATTTTCAAACCACTCTTGCAGCATTTTTTTCCATCCTCGATGCATATGTTTATTATGTTACAAACACTCACTCGGCTATCTTTAAATCCTGAAGGAAGAGGGATAGTATTTGATATAAAAAATAAAGGTGTTTATTATCTCACTAAAAGAACAGTGCTAATGTTAGCTTGTTTTGGAGTAGATTCCTTTTCTGTAGAAGTGAACATTCTTTGCTCAGCCTTTGTGTGCATAAAACCAATTTCTGTTTGTGTATACTTTTTTCAAATAGTTTTTGTATGACGTGTATGTTTGTTTTCAGGCTTTTCGTGGAGATCCTCAACAGCTGCATGGACTGTGATGAGATCCAGTTCAAGGAGGATGGCAGCTGGGCCCCCATGAGGTCTAAGAGGGAAGTGCAGGAGGTCTCCTCTGCTTCCTATAGCAACGGGCTGGATGGTGAGGCATATCATGAGGGATGAAGAGGGGGACAGGGCGGGGTTACAAAACCAGAAAGGCTGCTTCTACATGAAGGCAGGGAGAAAAGCCTGAAAGTAATTAAGTTAGGATTACACACACATGGTAACTGGAACGTGCATTTCCATCCCCTCTTTGTGTATGCATTGTCAGTTTTAATTTGGCGGGGCATCAATCATGATGCCACTGAACAAACTGCCTGTCTCCATAGTAACAAACACTGTTTTTCATTTGAGAGCAGGGGAAAATTGTATGTCTGCATTTTAGCACAGTTACAGTATTCAGCGGTGGTTTGTTTTTCACTCTGCAGCCTCAGAAAATGATAAGCATGAGCACAGTGACTATAACAATGTGGCGGCTGCTCTCCAGGTTCATGTCGGACGTCTGCAGGCTCGGACCAGCGGGGCTCGTCCAACAGCCACGGTGACAGCAGCAATAGACAGAAGGTGGAGGTGATCGACTTGACGCTGGACAGCTCCTCAGAAGACGAGAGCCAGGATTCACCGCCTTCGCCACCGCCGCCACTGCCTCCTCCGCCCAAAAGACCGTGTCCCTCCATGTCCCCGCCCTCTCCGCCACACAACAAAGGGTCAGACACACACACACACACACACACACACACACACACACACACACACACACACACACACACACCATGTGAATTTTCAATGACTACTTTTTACGATGTTTTCTTTGATTGTTGCCTCTGTGTTTAGTGTCCTGTCTGTCTGTAACTTTGCGTGGTAGTGTTACCACTGAACAGGTCTCTCTTGAGAATGAGACCCTGTGTCTCAATGAGATTCTCACCTGTATAAATAAAGGCAAAAAAAAGAAATGTTTCCTTCTCTACACGCACATTTAGTTAAATGGGTAAATGAGGCATATTTTAGCTGCTCAGATGGGTATTTATGAATTTAGATGTTTAAAAATTCATGAGCTTTGCACTTGAACACACAAGTTGCTTTTAATAAATTAACAGCGCCCACAGAGGAAAGCAGAGAGTGCTGGCTGAGGAGTTTTTCAGAAAGTGAAGTTTGATTTTACATCTAGAAATGGTTGACTTTCAAAAAAGCACACAATCGTTTTATGGCACATAAGACTCGGGATCATAGGATTAAAGTTCAGCCAATCGTAATTCAATATGTATATAAATGTCAAAACAGCATTAAATGCTTCACAAACCTCTCAGGATCAGAAGGATTGGAAACTTCTTCCAGCTGACAAACAGAGGTAGGGGGAAGAGCTTTTTTGGGCGCCCCTGTTACTATTCATTTTGACCATTGACCATGTTATGAGATGCACAGTTTAAACGTATGTAGAAGGTGGAAGCTTATGTATATAAAAATCGGGAAACGTGAACTACATCTCCAAACGATTTACAGCCAGTGGAAGCTCAATATTTTACTTGTAATCTGCAGTTTACATTAGTTCACTTTTAATATGGGGTCAACGCTCTTTTTTCATTTTCTTACGAACTGCAAAAAGGAAGCGTTTGAGTTGGCTCTTGTTCGGATTCACGCCTCTGACGAGACTCTTTGGGCATTACAGGTTCAAAGCTGTCCTTTATATGAAAATAATGCATTAAATATGATTTATCAGAAACAAGTATAACATATTAAGTGACAAATCAGAATTGAAAAGATCAGATTACATATAAGTTGTGCTGTTCAGTAATAAACAGATCTGAGTCACATATGTGCAGAAACAAGCTTTGAGTCAGCTTGCAGTCTATGTAGCCATAGTTGAAACAAATTACAATAACGCAAGCCTAAGAGATTGCTGTGTTTCAATGCTCAACAACTCTGAGGAATTAGTTACGAAACTTCTGCTGCTTCATTTGACTTTTATGAATCATGTGACTGTTCAGGGGATTGTGTTTCCAGGTTCAAAGGAGGAGACGAGACACCCTCTGTCCTATCAAATACATATGAAATGAAAGCAAAGCCTTATTATAGATTCATTTGCTTCTTCTCTAAACCTCTTCCTCTGTATCTGCCTGCAGGGTGTTGAACCTGCACCACCAGGCCTCTCCTGTCAGCTGCACTCCCAACATGCCTGCCATGGACACCAGCTACATCCCTCCTGTCCCCCCCCTCATTCAGGACTACAGACCGTACTACCACACCCCCAACGACCTGTCAGGTAAACGTTTCAGGGGTCAAATGTACTGCATTTTTTAAAATTAAATAACCGATCTAATGCTTGGTTTTATTAAATGCATATGGTTGAGAATACCATTAGACACATTTAGCTATATAATATAACTCCAGCTTTTAGTAACTTTAAATAAACTTTATGCATTTGCACCTTTAATATCGGTTGTTGTTGATGTTCACCATTATTCTGCCTGTGCTTGATTTCCAGAGTTGAGCTTCTTCTCGTTTCTTCAAGGTGACAATCATCAGGTATGTAAAACATCACTGAGTTTGGGGAGGCGTGTGGCGCAGTGGGTTGTGCATTGGTGTTCGGATCAGGGGGTCACAGGTTCAAACCCCACTGCAGTCAGCATGGGGGATTGCTCACAGTATTGAGTATGTAAGTCGCTTTGGATAAAAGCATGTAACATGTAATGTAATGTAATGTTTACCCTCCGGATCCTTTTTGTTTTCAGTGAAGCAGAAGCCGGTGTGTTTCACACTGACTGTGCTTACATGAAAAACAAATCAGAATCTGCAAAGTGTTATCTGATGAAAAACTTCCTCTCTGCAGTGAGCAAAGATCTTTCATGCAGAGTCAAACGGTTCAGAATGAAATAAAGAATAGAGATTTTGAGGGTATTGTGGCCATAAGATGCGAGACAGTCTGCTGCTACACGCTCTAACTGTGTCACTGTCTGCTTCTGTCTCTACGGGCTATTTAAAGGAGACATGAGAGTGAGACGTTTGACAAATGATGGTCGTTACCCACCGGTTACTGGGGGGCTGAATTCTCCGAGGCACTCGAACATAAATACAGTTGTTGCTTGATTTCTGACATCCTCATCTGTCAATCTGCTCCGTTTGAGTTCTATTATCTATAATGTTCATTATAAAGGGTTGGTTATCCCACATTACCAACAAAAAAGCAATTTTCTTTTAATGGGACACTGTATCTAGATGTTTAGATCCTTTTGCTTTTGAGATTTCAGATACAGTACAGTAAGCTTTAATAGAATTTCAGAGTTTGAGAAAATTACATTTTAAAAATGTAACAGCAATTACCTTTCCAGAATCAGCAACCCCCGTTGCCCTGGCGATTTCCCCTCGCTGTGAACAGTTTTTATTGGATCATGATTCTCCCGGAGACTGTAAGCAGCATTTCTGTCGACAAAAGATAAATTGCTTCTGGAAAGACGCTACTCTTTAATATCTTGGAACACGGACTAAACAAAACCCAAGCTACCTGCAGCCCTCGTAACCACTAAAGATTAGTAAATACATTCATAGTATATTCTCATCTTTGATGCTTTGATTCTTCATGGGACACATTCAGTAATGAATAGCCATGCTGTCTGAACTTCCTAATGTCTGGTCTTTGGTCTCGTCTCAAACAGGGAACATTTTCACAAAGCATCTTATCTGCAATACTAAATTGCACAAAAAAGCAACCTTGTTCAAAGTTTTCCCTTAATACCCGTTCACAAAGCTGCTGACAGTCCTGAGATATGGAAATGGATGACCTCAATTATCATTTGTGAATTTAGTCATATCTCAACAGTGATTGGTAGAAAGATGACATTAAGTCAGTTAATGCGAAATAAAATCAATACACAGGGGCTAAAAATAGATTACCATTAACAATCTGCTGTAGCCAAAAAACCTTAACCATTGAAGCAAAGTAACAATACTGACTTGTTAAAGACCTTCCTCATGCCGGCAGGGTACTTTTGTTTTTCCAGCTGATTTAACTTATAGTTTGGTTATTCTACATACAGAATTAATATCTCCTCGTAATTCAACATTAGCCATTAAATCAGATGTATTGGTTAAAGGTGGGGTAGGTAAGTTTGAGAAACCGGCTCGAGATACACTTTTTGTTATATTCCATGGAATGCTCTTAACATCCCGATAGCAATGAATATCTTAAGTGCTTTGACAAAAAATCCATAAAAAAATGTCATCTGTGGAAGCCGTAGTACTGTAAAAAGTACGACCAATCATTTTAGCCGGCCCGGCTAAAATAACTGGATGGCCTACCTGCCTGTCAGCCTTCCATCTGTGCACACACTTATCTCGTGCCCTCATTGGTCATGTGCGCGTTCGTGTGTGTTAGAGGGGCTCTATAAGGAAGTGGCAGATTTTCTCCGGTTGTGTATTTTCAAATTCTAGCGCACTCGAGTTGGTTTCTCCATTCTTACCTACCCCACCTTTAAGTTTAGTTTAATTTAGTAAATTTCAACATACAACTTAAATACTCATATAATGATTTAAAAACAAAGGTAATTACTTTTGAATTAGTGACGAACCAAAGCAGGTTTAAGAAAAAAAAATGTGTGCATTATATATTAACAAGAGTCTAACAAAAAATATGATACACTAGTGTTCACAACTATGATTTTTCTCTTGGGTATTTTATTATTGCTTAATGTGCCTCGCTGCACATTATCCCTCACTTGGGACACCATCATAATATGCTCTCAACAGTTCTTTAATATTGTTTTTATTTGAACTCGCTGGTACAACATTTATTGCAAAAATGCTTTGTGACCTGCTCTCAGACTCAAATCGAAACCCAGCCAGTAGGGTCTTCTGTTTTGCAAACACTCTCCATGGTAACCTCATCAGCCTCTGAACTCACCCTTGCTCCTCTCTTCTGTTTCTCATTGGTTCAGCATTACAACATGGTGATGGCTGCCGCGGCCGCAGCTTCAGCCTCAGACGACCACGAGCTGCTTCTCAACCGCTTCCTGCCCTACAGCACCTCCTCCTCCTCCTCACAGCTGTTCCTCGACCAATCAGGAGGCTCCTCAGCCCCCTCACTGACCGTGCCCACCAACGGGGCGAGCAGCTCGGGCAGCACCAGCAGTCTGGTGTCGTCCAGCAGCCTCCGCGACACACACTCCACACACTCGTCTTCACACTCTTCACACTCCTCACACACACACCCCGTGGTGGTGGCCACCCGGAGCAGCGCAGAGGCGGCAGTGGCAGCAATTTACGGCGGGATACCTGACGTTATATCGTTGGACTGACTGGAGAGCAGTCAGAACTACACTTTGGGTCCAGCTGAGATCCAGTAACACACTTTTTTTGACTACAGGGTGAAGTTTTGATCCAGAAAGTTGTCTGGCGCCAAGTCATCACACTTTGTGGAGTCCTAATGAGGAGACTGCCTCAACGAGGGCACTAATATTATATATTATATATTATATAATATTAACAGAGGGTTCTCTTCACTAGACAGAGCGGTGGACTTCTGTTTGTGTACTGACTTCAGATCAGGAACCTGTCCAGCATGTTTATGGTACCAACGCGGCACAAACAGCAAAGACTCTACTTGAGCAAATCACACGAAGGACAAATGCTCTTTTCTACAAAAGCGTGGAGTTAGCACCGTGTACAGAGAACAAATATATTTTCCTCTTTTACTTTTGTATGTTCTATCGGAAAATGTTCAGTCAAGTGAGCTGCTTCAATTGCTGTTTTTAATTAGAGGACTGAGGTTGCATTTCCCTTTTTTCTCACAAAAGCTTTTACATAACGCCTGTTGCCATGTGGTCGTCTTTTGCTTCTCTTTTTGTCCTGCTTACATTTAGCTTTATTTGCATTTCTACAATATGAACTTAAGTTCTCTCATTCTTAACTGATCGAGCTCCATTTTAAAATGATGCTTTGTTCTTTCTCTGTCCAATAACAAGAACACTGAAGTTACAGTTTTTATTCATGTGCTAATACTTTTATTATATTTTAAGTTATGTATGATATTTAAACCGTTATAAATATATAGTATATATATATATATATGCATTCCCTTTGACCTTCAGGTTAATGCTGTAGGAAGTGAGTAGTAGTAGAAATCACTCCTTGATTTCCAAATCCTCACAAAGACTCTGCCGGCAAACAGCATTTAGAAATGGAGACTTTTAAACTATTTATACTTGCAGATTTAGAGTTTTGAGCTGGAAGAGTTTCTTTTCTTTTTCTTTTCTTTTTGCACAATGCCAAAAACAAGATAAAGTACCTGATGAAAATGATCATAATATTCAGAGTGCAGTTGAATCTGTGTGCCACAGTGTTCTCCGTCCAAGTGTCCACTTCTTCGGTTTCAGCTGATGGTTATTTAGACATCTCTGTTCATGTATGTCTTGTCTTCTTAGTTTCATCCTTCTTTTGCTTGACTGTTAAAAAAGGTATTACAATGAAGGCCGAGCTGTTGTAGCAGCACAGTCCTTCTGAAGAGACGGCGTCCATGGCATGTGACCAAGTTTAAACTAGTGCCTGTTTGTGTGCATGCTTCACAGCGCGGTGGGGATGTTTTGGGTTTCCAAACTCAAAAGAATGTCTTTAATGCTCGCCCACCACCTCTGTCCCATCTCTGTCGAAGCTTTTTGTGGAGATTCGTGATATCTTTGACAGCCTAGGCGTTATATAGGGAGTTATCTTTGGGAAACTGCTCTTGGAAAAGCATGGAAGAGTGCCACAGTGAAAGATGTCAACATGCCAACGTATACACTGGGCACAAAGCCAGCTGGTTTAAAAATACATGACCTAAACCGTACGAGCACTTTGTGTACGATGTGGAAGTGTCAAAGTGAGGTGGAGTACCTCCATTCAGCTGGGGACACAGTTTGCTCATGAATGTATTGTGTAATTGTAAGAGGGGACACACTTTAGGTGTTTGCTTCCATTTCGGCTTTTAGCAGATGTTATCAAGGTGACATTAGCAGTGACACACACAGTACACCTGGCGCCCCCGCCCAGTCAGCCCACTCCTCCTCCTGTGCATCCTGTAACGTTCCCCTCTCATCAGCCTCTCCTCGATGTTCCACTTTTCAGACGTCCGAGACAAGCAGCTCACTTCGGAAACAAATTATCACCAGGGGATAATCCCTTCTGACAGCGGCCCCCCATCCCCTGTCCCGTCCTTCAGCTTCTCACTGAGATGATGACCCAGAGTGACCCCCCCCCCCCCCCCCCCCCCCCCTCTTTCCTCCCTTGCTCCCTCTTTGCATCTTTAACTTTATTCCCAGTTCTTCTAATGGGAACAAACCCCCGGCTCTCACACTGATCCAGAACCAGTCCTTGTGTATTTCCAGTGTTGTTCAGTATTTTATTTATTCTTATTTCTATATATTATATTTTTTACAAATTGTTTGATTTCCGACGGCGAGCGTCAGTCACTTTCACTCGGGAGCTGTTGTGATATGATTTTATTTAATATGCATTTTATTAATATTCTTTGCCAGCAGCGCAATCTCTCACAATGGAACCAATGAGTCATTCGTCATGTAAATGCTCCTGTGTGACGCTTTATAATCAGGACACAAAGCACATGCTTAATTAATACGTGCACGACTCACGGTGATTTAATGTTTTAATTAATTCAGGATGTGTTATGAATTCTGGTTGCTCACCAAGTCACTGAGAGTTAATGTGATTAGGTAATGCTAAATGGATTATCAATGAATGATTAGCTCAGTGACTTCATACGTACATTTATGTACAGCCAAGTTAGCAGGAGTTCAGTTACATAAATAAGGCAGTATTCCATTTTATGGCAATATCAAGCCATCTTTTTTCTTCAATCAGACATTTGCCGTTGATGGCATTTATCCACATTTTGAGAATTAACATTTTTCTGTTGTCTTAATTTGTTTAGATAATCAAAAATCATATTCATTAATTAAACCATTTAAAACCCATCTGTGAACATGCATGTTCACAGATGGGTTTTCTTAGCTTATGCTAAAGTAAACATTTTGGAAATGTTTTATCAGCCATGCCACTGTATGTAACTGGATTCCAGATCATTTGGTAGCATGTCAAATAATGTGTGAAAAAACATTGATCCTTTTAGTGTTATCTGATAACGTAAACTCACAGTGACTGCTTCATGGCAACAACATCAATTTGCATCACATTCTGCATAAATTCATGCATCAAACCAGTACTTGCGTAATATTTTTGCATTTATTTAAATATGTGTTTTCCTTTATTATAAAGTGTTACCCTGACTTAGTACACTGATGAAGATGTTGATCCTTTAGTTTCCTTCTTGTTACTTTGAATATAAATCACCAGTATTTGGAAGCTTGTTAAGATGGTCACAGTTTTCTCTATCACAATTTTATTTATTTAAACTTCTTCTTTCCCTACGCTTGTCAGGAGACAGTGCAGCACATGAAGAGAGAGACCACACCGTGTTGAATGTGTTTCTGTTGAAGTGATCTACATCTGTATGGGGATACAGGGAGGCTTCATAATGTAAAGTGTCCACAACTCCATCCTGTGGTGCACATCTGTTTGGGAGAAGCTGTCCTTTTGGAGCTCGGGGAGTTATTTTGTTAGAAAGTGTCAGATTGCAGGCAGGGATGGATGAGCACAGGGCTGCCATATCAACCCCTCTACAGCTGGAGCCGTATATATAGAGCATTGATAGCAGGAGCTTATGTGTTGGCTGGTGTGAGCGCACTGGGAATAAACCAGCGTCTGCTCAGAATAAAGTGAATGGAATAAGGCCACTATTATAGTTCATCTCCACAGGCTACAGTGAAGAGATGCCTCCTAAATTAAAAGGGAAAAGTCAACAATGTGTATATTCTGTCTGTGTGGAAACCTGAGAGTTCAGATCCAAACGTGGGTGTTTGATGTCCGTTTATATGCTTTTTGTGTCAATTCAGAGCGAGAGAATAAATTAATTTATATATTTTTTAGAAAATGAAAGCTGTCATATTATTTTAAAAAAAGGACTGTGGCCAATAAAGAGTCTTAAACAACAGAAGTAATCTCAGTCAGACTCAAGTCGACACCTGCACTCACTGCCTTAAAACATTCACAGGTTCTGTTTCACGGCTCTAATCCGAGAAAAATCCTAAAAAGGCTTTTCGAGGAGAGCAAGGAGAAGGCGGTGTACAGTGGACCCTTGTCAGTTTGTACAAATATACCAAGTGAAAAAAATATTTATTACCTGCATTGGAAGAAATTGTTTACTTATTGAATGTTACCTGTTTATGTAGAGAAGTTTAGATGTAATAAAATGCATTCTGGTATTTCTCTGTGTGTTTGTGTTCCCTTATTTTTAAACGATAGGGTTTAAGGCTGGGAAATATATCAATATTGTAATATTATCCTAGATATCGTCCTATATTTTGGATGTCCTAATTTCAGAAGTGTTGTTTTTTTAATGGATTTTAAGGCTATATTAAATAACTGATGTTATTTTCTGAATTTGAAAAAAAAAAATCTAGCTGTTTTAGTTTGTGCCTTTACTGGCAAAATCACATAACTGATTGTTATTTATCAAATATTTAATTTTGTAAATATTTTAGGAGAGCATCAATGGTAAATTGTGCAAGGTCTTTACAATATCGATGTTAAGGTATTTAGTTAAAAATATTGCAATTTTTTTCATATCACGAAGGCCTTTCTTGCACATGATGCTATCATAACATTTTAACTGCCTGTTACACTTAGAAGTGAGCACCAGGTGTCAGCACAGAGTCATTGTTCTTGATCAACTTTTCCCTTTCTGTGATGGTACAAAACCAATTATTCATGCTCTGTCAACTCCACGGTGCCTTCCCTACTGTGACACGCGCTATATATAACATCTGAAATTATTAACGTGATGTTTTATTTGGGATTGAAAGTGATGGAGAAGCCTGCATTACGCACAAGACTGATGGACGCATCAACCATAATGTTCTCCAATTAACACCTCAACCCAGCCATTACTGTCATGCTGTCTGAGCAGAGGATGAGTCTTGGAGATGAGAGGAGGGGACAGTGCAGGACAGGAGGGTGGGGTGGATACAGACAGAGGGGTGGCACCATGTTTTATACTGCCACTACATACACCAGCTCTCTGTGGACAGAAATTATTTTATCTATCTTAATGATAGACCTCAAACTGAATTGTTTCTTAAACTGAAGACATTATGACTGAAGAAAATGAGAGCATGTGTCTGAACAGGTCACTGGTGGAGGTGGACTTCTTCAGCAACATGGATGATATCGACGTGACAGCCGACGGGAGCCTGATCCTGAGGTTCCTCATCTGCCTGGTTTACTCTGTGGTCTGCGCTGCAGGTCTGATGGGCAACCTGCTGGTCCTCTTCTTCATCAGGGTCAAACAAGAGAGGAAGAAGTCCACCGTGAACTTCTTCGTGTTCAACTTAGCAGTGACGGACCTGCAGTTCGTGCTCACTCTGCCCTTCTGGGCCGTGGACACCGTGCTGGACTTCAGCTGGCCGTTTGGAGACGCCATGTGCAAAATCATCCTCTCGGTCACCGTGATGAACATGTACGCCAGCGTGTTCTTCCTGACTGCCATGAGTGTGACCCGCTACTGGTCTGTCGCCTCGGCTCTGAAGAACAGCACCACGCGCAAGTCCTGTTCAGCCAAATGGACCTGTGTATTTATTTGGACACTGGCGACTGTGGCTACTGCTCCAACGTCTATTTTCTCAACTGTCAGCAACGTCACGGGAGAAAAACTCTGTTTGTTGAAGTTTCCTGGTGGACAGTACTGGCTAGCAGTGTACCACATACAGAAAATACTTGTGGGGTTTGTTTTGCCGATGTCCATCGTGTCCATCAGCTACATCATGCTCCTGCGTGTCATCCGCAACCGGAGTATGAAAACAAGCAACCCCAAACGGAGATCCCAAGTTACTAAATCCATCACCATCGTCGTTTTGTCTTTCTTCCTGTGCTGGATGCCCAATCATGCGATCACCCTGTGGAGTGTGCTGGTCAAACTGAACGCGGCAAACTGGGACAAGGCGTACTACATAGTGCACACATATGTGTTCCCTCTGACCGTGTGTCTGGCTCACACCAACAGCTGCCTCAACCCCGTTATTTACTGCCTCATGAGGAAGGAGTTTAGGAATAAACTGAGAAGTTTGATACACAGAGGCTGATGTTGTGGAGCATTGAGAATAATTTAAAGTGTTGGAAACAGTACCCAAGACGCACCGAGTGCGCACGGCTAAAAAGGCTTGGAGTGAGAGAGGAGACCTGTCAGAAAGCACAATTAGACAAGCAGCATCATGTCAATATCTATTCCATCCTGCTTAATGTAAAATGTCCTTTTCATCAGCGCTTCTTGTCCTTATAGCCTTGCGTAATGTGGCTCGTGTATGTGGAGAAACTGCTGTATCTGCTTTACGCATAGGAATTGCTGTGTAAAGAAATACGCTGATGTCCACTTCAGCATTGTTTGTTAGATAACTATTAGCAGTGTTGTTTCTCTAGTGTAAAGTCTAAGTGACTACGTGCGTAATTGCGCATAATTATTATTATATGAGTATAGTGTGCTTGCGTCCTAACTGATCAAACAACATGTGGCTCCATCTGTGAATATATTTGCAAGTAATGTAACTAGATAAGTGTGTTTTTAAGACAATCATGGATGTAACATATGCTAAAGCAAAGGAGAAAAAAATATAGCATTAAGTTATTGACTTTAGCGGGGCAAAATGCATATTTTAGGCATAGAATACATGAAAATGTGATATATGAGTGTTGTAAATAAACATATCCACGATGTAATAAAACATAATAAAAAAAGTATTCTCACAAACAAAATGTGATTCTGCACGAGTCAAATGCAACATATCTGAGCAAGTGATATAAGAAGTTATGAATGACTGAATAACAGTGAGGACAGTGTGTCACTGACCTGAACATTGAAACTACTGGCCTTGTTCATTATCAGCATACAAAGTGCTAATGAAATAGACAGAGAAAATGCCAATACATGAATGTGTGAACAGCATGTAATTTATGTAGTTAGAGGTGAAGCTAGTTTTGCATTGAGATAGATTAGTAAGGCTGTTCCCAATTCCCAATGTTCCCTATGGGTCTAGCTCCCTCGCAGTCTTTACATAAATGTTAGTGAGTCTTGAAATATATATTTTAGGTTAATCTACCCATTTAAAGTCAACCCGGTATCACGGCAAGACGTGAACATGTGACGATCTACCATGCTGGGAGACGTGAATATGTCACGGTTTCGTCCCTTCAAACGTGACAGACACATCTATGGATTCAGAATTTCAATAGCTTACTGTTAAATGACGGATATACCTTTCTGTCTGTGATGTTTTACAAATCAGATATTATAAGTAAAACATGTGAAATAATATAGCAATATCCTGAACAATTATGTGAAAACATGAATAAAACTACACATCTTCAGATGTTATACATACACAAGTGTCCTACACTAATAATACAAAGTTATTATGGCTGTGTGTACCTTGTGTGCACCGCCTAGTGGTTAAAGCACGTTATTGAATTAGTTGTGTATATGATATGTCAATGAACCTTAGAAAATCTTGAAAGGGATATGCAAAATAGCCATTATATACAGTCTTTAATTAACTATTAGTAGAGAATAACGAGTAATGAATATACTTTATAGGGATCTGCAGATAAATGTTTAGTCTTCTCAAGCAGCAACTATCAAATATCTCTCCTGATTGTTGGCACTTGACAATCACCTGATTTAAGGGTTGTTTATATTTCACATCATTAATCAGAATCTGCAAAGTAACTAAAATAAATGTAGTGGAGTAAAAATACCAGGTTAACCTCTGAATTGTAGTGGAGTAGAATTACAAAGTAACAATGAGCTGGCATGTGGGTATATATTAATGCTTCCCATTATGGACACAAGCGATTTTCACCCATTTATTAATTACATGTTTTACATTTGTACACACCAATTTGTTTCCTATCCCCTAAACCTCCAGGGCTGTACACAGTTTAATACTGTCAACTTCTAATTTTGGGAAAAACGAAAACGTCTTTTAAAACTACAATTCCCAGTAGAGACGTGCCATAGAACATGTTGCGAAACACAATAGCCAGCATGTGTAGTTCTGGGGGAGGGTTCGAGTCCAGTTTTGGAAAGTCTGCCGTGGTTTCCATTTCAAAGAGCTGTTTGGCGCTCGGCGTAACCTTGGCGCACTGCCACTCCAACATTCAATGCCAGAGCTTGAAGATTAATCACGGGGTTTGTCAATAGAGTGGCGAAGTCACGCCCATCTACTTCCGGTCCATGGGACCTTATTTCGGAAAAAAATAATGCATTGAAGTCAATGGAGAGAGAAAACTTATCTTTCGATCCCGTTTGAATTGTGCCATGAATTACACATATGATGTTTGTCAATCTTAAAAAATTATTTCCATGTCAAAAAAGTCACAGTTTGTCGTAAAACTGTTGAAATATAAGACTATGAAAAATACGCAAAGACTACAAATCACAGAGTCGCGTAAGTGATGTCACAATTGTTTTCCTCCACTAAGAGATAGCTAAGATCAGCGCCATATAGATATAATCTATCTATATGGCGCTGGCTAAGATAAGATAACTTTAACAAGATGCCTGTGTGCTTAGTACCAGGTTGTTATCATACCAGCAATGGGTCTTGCTCGTTCTTTTGCTTCCCGTCTGATGAAAGGACCAGGAGTGGCTTGATCAAGTTAGCTACCTAGCTAGTAGCTAGCATGTTAGTTAACATTACAGCCTTGTCATTTTTATTAGCCTTAACATGAAGTAACATTAAGTAACCCAAAATGTTAAACAGTAAGAGTAGTAGTCATATTTCGTGAACCCTTTGAAGAGTACTGTCACCGGTGTGATCATTCTATAATACACAATTTAAGCCCGGGGGAGAAATGCTAACGCTAACGCTAGCATCGGCCATCGACGATCTTCTCTACTTCATGCTATCTGCACAAATGGTTGACATTAAACATTAAAACGACCAGGCAGTTCAGAGAGAATCAAAGGAAGGCAGGCAGGCAGCTTTGCATGACATTCTTCAGGACGTGTTTCATTGTGGTGATAGTGAGGGTAGTCAATCGTTTTGTTGACAAGACAGTAGTGACGGCCATCTTGGTGACGTGTGTTGTTGACCAGAGATGTAGTTCATTGAGCCTTTCACACAAACAAATGTGTTACTTCACAGTTTTACGACACATTTTTTTTTTTTTACTTGCAAAATTATCTTTTAAATTGACAAACATCATATGTGTAATTCGTGGCTCAATTCAAACAGGATCGAAAGATAATCTTTCTCTCTCCATTGACTTCAATACATAATTTTTCCGAAATAAGGTCCCATGGAGGTCCACCGGAAGGGGAGGGACTTCGCCACTCTATGGGACTGTAGTCCAAAACGATAGCTGGGGATTATGGGTAGTGTAGTGTCTTCGGCCATCCTAAACTTTGAATTTTTTCTCGGATTTCATATCGCATTAACACCATATCCCAACGTGCATTGCGGCTAAAACATCCAATCAGCGAGCTGAGGATCTTTCCTACGTCACTTTACAGCCCCGCCCACTTTTGGGGAAACCAACTGTCATTTGAACGGCGATCAAGCCTGAAGCCACAGAGCTCTTCTGTTGTATACTGTCCTTTCTTCTTAGAGGAAGTACAGAAACACGTAACTCTGGATTTGTTTTAAAGCTCCCATGTCATGCTGTTCCGGTTATTACCCGTCCCCTTGTGTGTTATGAAGGTTTTTATGCATGTAAACGGTGTGCAGAGTCAAAACCCTCAAAGTACACCCTGTAGCGAGTAAAACTCTAACACAGAAAATACCTCCCCAAAACGCCTCGTTGGAGATACGTCACTGCCCATTTGAGTCTTCCATTTAGTTCCGGGTACGGCCTGATGTCATGCGGTACCCGGAACGAAATGGACCAATCCCGAAGAGCTATGGCCACACCCAGCGGTGCTGGCCGCACCCTCTGCCAGCCTAACATTTACTGTTGGAAGCTCTGGTTCAGTTCACAATCGATCCAGTCATGCCAATGCCAAGGACCTGTTTCCTGAAATGTGAGGAGAAATCTGAGCTGTTTGTCCTACCGACGGAAGAACCACCACGAAGTCAGTGGTTGAAATGTCTTTTTAACACTGTTCCTCCAGAGGTTCGAAGAACCGGCATTTCACAGACGAAAGCTTCCAAAACATTGCCCAGTTTGAGGCCGGATATGCACAGCTTGTTTGGACCGTTTGGAGCAGGGGAAGATTCGGGTACACAACCTGTAAGTTTGCATTGTTATTTGTGTATTTATCAAACAAGGTAGACTGTTTAAATGTGTAAACATGTTTCGGACTGCTAAGCCAGTGCTAACTGTGCTAACTAAGTTGCTAGCGTTTCCATATATCAACTCTAATATCAGCAGATGGCCTTACATACATGTTCCTCATAGCTGGATAATGTCTGCATTCACACACGAAATAGTCATAGACCGTATACTCCTGGTGATTTACCGTTCGGTCAGTCGCGAAACGTAAGTACATTATAGCTGGCGTAGCGTGTATGCTACCGATCTACCGACGGAGCTAGACCTTAGTTTGCTCGGAAAAACATTTTTGTTATGCTACGTTGCTAGCGTTTAAATATATCAACTACAATGTCAGCAGATGGCCTTACATGTTTGTCATGGCAGGAGAATGTCTGCAGTCACACACACGGAATACTCATACAGTATACTCCGGGTGATTTACCGTACATTGTGACAGTACATGTATAGCTAACGAGGCTAGCTATGCATGTATAGCTAACGAGGCTAGCTATACATGCTAGCGGGAAACATTGTATGACCGAACGTAGCAGACTACCCGTAGAATAATGCAATTATAAACACGTTATTGCTAGCCTAATATGAACCACTAACTTTTGTTCATAGTAGTTTTATTACACTCCGTTACTCCAAGCTAACGTTCATATCATGTTAGCTACCAAGGTAAACAAAGCTAGGTTAGCATATTAGCAGGCAAGCTGTTCATTAGATATATCCACACTCCTACCACAACTACTACTAACGAATCTAAAACAACTAAGTTTCTCTAATATTTTGTGATTTGCATTTTATTTCGTCCAGCCAGATCCTGCCGGAA